GCGATATATCAGTGCATCCCATAATATATATATATATAGATATATCACCAGGGCTGTGCAGGTGGTTGCTGGGCTCTCCAGATGTGGGGCTGGACCAGCGCTGTCAAAGACAGCTGCCGCGAGATCCCCAGCAGACTGCCTGAGGTCCCCAGCAAGTGTGGGACCTCAGGCAGCCGCTCCTGTTTAAAAATATAAAGGGCCAGTATCTGCCTCTAGTATAGGGGCATTTTGACAGTACAAGTACGCGTGAAAATGCACTGTATCGGCCCCAATACCGATACTAGTATCCGATAGTACTAGTACCGATACTAGGGGACATCCCTAATATTTTTTGTGCATAAAATTACAGAATTACACATATATCTGCAATCTAGAGTCCTTTGCTCTGCTCTAAGCCAAAGAACCTATGAACATATGTGAGCAACTTGAAATAAATGACGCATGAAATGGTGTATTGTGCCCTACTGCAGGCAGAATTCTACAGATCTCTGGTCATGAACTGTAAGCAATTAATGTGGTGAATCACATCACAAATGAGGTGACACAGAGGCCATCACTGCCATATCACTCTGTCTCTTCTGTTACTTGGAGTGCATGTTCCGAAAAAGGCAGAATTTGTTTTGTGAATCAAGATCAAGTTCATCCATTAAATTATGACTCCAGTAAAACAAGTAGGTGGCAGGTCAGCAAAATAAAACTCTAAATTCTATGTAAAAAATAAACCTTTTAAATCTTCCCTGATAATGAGTAACAACCTCAAGTTTCAAACTCAAACATGATAAAAGCCATGTTGACTTTTTTCTTGAAAAATTCCTATGTAGCCAAGATTTGAGAACAAGGGTCATCAGCTGTGGTACTATTACAGTTCAGGGAACAATATTGTATAATGTGTTTTTAATGATGCTGGAATAAAGTACAGTTTCTTTATGGTATCTGCCTAGTGTGGAGTTGCACTCCCAGTAGATGTTCTGACATAGTCATCTTTATTACAATTTAAAGTGCACTTATACCCAGGGTATGGGCAATAAGAAGTCACGTGATCAGGAGTCCTGATCCTTGTGTTATATACAGGACCGGATTTATTCTCCCTGCTGCCCCAATGCCAGGTTCCGCAATTCGCCCCCCTCCCCGGCCAAACCCCCCAAGCCCCCCC